GTATTGCTAAACAGACACACAAATGAAGTGAGGTGCAAGCTGATTGCACGCAACATTGACTCTGGGTGCCATGGGAGCCCTCCACTATGGTTCAGTTGGCACACCTTACAAACTTTAGTTACACAAGTGCAGTTAGCAAAACTATCTTATCCCAGGAGACCATCTTGGTCGCAACAAATTTGCGGACCACTCATTTGCATGTATTGCTAAACAGACACACAAATGAAGTGAGGTGCAAGCTGATTGCACGCAACATTGACTCTGGGTGCCATGGGAGCCCTCCACTATGGTTCAGTTGGCACACCTTACAAACTTTAGTTACACAAGTGCAGTTAGCAAAACTATCTTATCCCAGGAGACCATCTTGGTCGCAACAAATTTGCGGACCACTCATTTGCATAGGTTGTTGAGCTATATAAAAAGCACTAGTGAAGTCAGTCAAATGAAAATGTCGTCTACTAAACACTGAAATGCAAGTACAATATTAATATCTCAAATAACTGCTTATATGGTAAAATGAAAGCACTTTTCAGTAATAGTATGCTGGAGCACTCTCGCAAGCAATTTCGAGGTGAAGCAAGTATTCAAGACAAGTCGGTCTCTGGAAGAGGTACTATAGTCTGGAAAGGTTAAGAACCACTGTACCAAGGAACTTTTACTGAACAGCATTAGGGTTCGTGTAGCAGACTAGAGGTACTATAGATTTACATCAGTTTGCCGCGTGCTCTCCCCAGGCAGTCAATACCTGTTCAGTTTAAGCGGAGATCAGTTCAAACAAACCATGAAAACATTCCGTGTTTCATGAATCAATGCACTCTGCATGGCTACGTCTACACTGGCCCCTTTTCCGGAAGGGGCATGTAAATTTCACCAGTCGTCGTAGGGAAATCCGCGGGGGATTTAAATATCCCCCGCGGCATTTAAATAAAAATGTCCGCCGCTTTTTTCCGGCTTTTAAAAAAGCCGGAAAAGAGCGTCTACACTGGCCCCGATCCTCCGGAAAAAGTGCCCTTTTCCGGAGGGTCTTATTCCTACTTCGAAGTAGGAATAAGACCCTCCGGAAAAGGGCACTTTTTCCGGAGGATCGGGGCCAGTGTAGACGCTCTTTTCCGGCTTTTTTAAAAGCCGGAAAAAAGCGGCGGACATTTTTATTTAAATGCCGCGGGGGATATTTAAATCCCCCGCGGATTTCCCTACGACGACTGGTGAAATTTACATGCCCCTTCCGGAAAAGGGGCCAGTGTAGACGTAGCCCATGGGTTTCATGTATCCAGAGCTGTCCCATCCATAGGATGATTTGGCCACCTCTGGCCCTGCACTTGCAGGTGCCCTACAGCAGCAGCCTCAAGTGTCCTATGGATGGGACAGACCATGGGATTACAGGGCCTGGCCTGGAGTGGCAACAGGAGCTGTGCCCTCCTCTCTCCCCTTCCCCCCACCCCCTCCATGGCTGGAGCAGCCCAGCAGCCTGCTTCGGTCCACCACAGCACTGTCCTCTTCTTGGCACCAGCCCTTAGGTGCTCCACTTCCTGCTGCAGCCTACAGGCAAGCAGCAGTAGGCTGGGAGAGTGGAGCGAAGCAGGCTGTTGTCTGCTCTGGCCATGATGAGTGCAAGGGGGAAGCCCCTGCTGCTGCCCCGCACCAGGCCCCCTAATCCTTTGGCACATGTTGCTTGAGTGGGGGGGAGGGGAGAGGGCAGGCTGGGAGCAGGGGCTTGTGGCAGAGGGAGTTGCTGAAGAGACAGCCCTGAGTTGATCCAGTCTCATACTTCTCTCTTCTTCACTGCAGCAGTAATGTTCCTCCCCCAAGTTAATTTCTGTTCCTTTCTATTGTAATCTGTTCCAATGTGAGATATTATCGCAGTGAATTCGGTAGGAATGTTATGACATAATTAGCCCTATGACCAAAAGGCAGTAAACCATCCAGTTTTCTTTGTCTGCGGCTGGGCTGTTACTTGTGTGTATTAGGTATTAAGATGTGAAATTACCTGCGTTGGTGTTTAAAATGGGAATTAAGGATTGTGTGTGCAAAACTTGTTCATGTCAATGGTCAACTGGCAATTAAACACGTGGGCCTGGGATTTAATACATCATGAGCATTGAGTAGTATCATAACCCCTGTGGGACTCTCCATGGATTAGAGTTCTGAGAAGGTATCATTCTGTCTTATAACTTTGAAGTTTTTCTTAAGGTGGCAGTAGCCCTTTAACTTCTGTGGGAAATCTTTCAAAAAATGGGATTCCTGAAGTTAAACTTGAAAGTTATAGAAACTGTGCTACATATAAACTTTTTGAAAAGAAACTGTTCACTAAAGTTTTAGCAGCATTGATCGAGTTCTGCGGCACATCTCCATCAAAAACAGCTGCATAGTTTAGAATGATCTATTTCTGGTCATGCTTTTCTTTCTGCTGACAGTCTTGCTAGAACAATGTTCTGTTACTGATGACAATGTAAGTCTCATTCTTTACTGGCAAGACTTGAAAAAGAGGATTGCACTGCCTATATCTAAACAATTACAGATGATATTTTATCTGGTCACAGACTATGTACTTTTCACTCATCCATACTCTAGACATGTAAATATTTTTCAGAAACTTCAATGAAACGGATTTGGAACCCTAGTTTAATGAAACACATTTTGTATGCATTCCTTCCTTGAGGAAACCCAGGGCAGAAATAATTGTCATTACAAAACCTGTTTAACCACCTGCATTCTCACTTGTTTTCTGGATCTCATCCCTCTTTCATTTCCTCTGGATGAGTGTAGTCCATCTTTCATTCTCCTCTCCACCTCTGGATCCTCAGGTGGAAAACAAAAGGGAAACTATTTTTTTTAATCCAGGGCTGCATCTTCTACAATATCAACCCCAGCTAGCAGGGCAATATCTAAGCCATGTGACAATTTGAGACTACGGGGCTAACCTAGGTAGTAATTGTGCAAATACAATAAGTATGACATACTGAAATCACATGCCCATGGAAGTCTGAAGCCACAGAACTATTGCTGTGGAAACCTTGAGCAGTGGAATGGGAAGTAGACCATAATAAGGGACACGGGGGTAGTTTTATAAGGGAATTGTCAACAAACATGGAGTGAGGGGGGGCACTGTGTGGGGATGGGGGTGGGGAAGGAAGTTGTACATGAGCCGGGAAAATGGCAATAGCATGGGCTCTTGGGGCATGTCTCCACTGCATCTGGAAGCAAGCTGGGCTTACGCTAGGACACTCAAAATAGCTGTATGTTAGGCAGCTGTAGCTGGGGGCTGGAAGACCCTGGAGAGACCAGCTCCAGCCCAACCTGTGACTAGATCTCTTGCTGCTGAGAGTTGCAAGTTGCCAAGGTCTTCAAAGTGAAAAACCTAAAGCAAAGGGGTGTGTGTGTGCAGATTTAGCACTAAGACGACAAACAGGCATTTTGTAGGGTATAGTAGAAGGGATGCCTATTCACATGCTTAGGATAGGGTTTTCTAGAGAGTTGATCATTAACTCCTCTCTGTGAAATCTAGGGTGAGGTTGGTCTAAGTGCTTCTGAAAAGCCTACACGCTAAAGTTTACAAGAAAAATTATTTCCTCTTACAGAAAATTCATATTTGAACCTTGGATACCATTTTCAATTTGAGGCAAATTACCCATAAAATTCATCCCCGATTAATAAGTATACAGGCAGTCCCCGACTTACGTGGATCCGACTTATGTCGGATCCCTAGATACGAACGGGGTGAGGCAACTCCCGCACATGCGCAGCAGCATTCCCGGGGCTCGTTCACCTGGGTCCTAGGATCCTCCTCCTCCTCGGGCCGGCTCCGACTGGGGTCCCGCAGAGCTGCCGGGCAGAGGAAAAGTGCCCCCCCCACCCCTCTGCCAGCAACAGGCTGCCCCCTCCCCTGAGCAACAGGCTGCCGAACAGACAAAAGCAGCCTCTCTGCCCCTCCTATTATCTCCTCCAAAGATATGGACTGTGAGTTGTTAAAATGGACAAAATAATGCAATGGTTCTGTATACAGTGTTGAAAGTGGATAATTAAAGAAAATGATGATCTCATGTCAGCACCCGTGGAGTTGTATAATTAACCTTGATTCAGAAGACATTGATTTTGCTTCATCACTCAAAATGAAGTCTGTCTCCTTGGATATGTGGCGGGTTTTAGTAAAATAAGAGAACTATGTACCCTCCTTAGTAAGAGAGAAAATCCCTCCTTCCTATTTTAAAGAAAAGAGGGATGGTTGTGTTGTTAAGGTACAAGTCAAAGTCAGAAGAGACACTGAAGCATATATTGGATTAATAAATTACAGGCAGTCCCCGGGTTACATGGATCCGACTTACATTGGATCCCTAGTTACAAACGGGGTGAGGCAACCCCGCACTAGCTGCTTCCCCCCAGCAGACCAGGGAGACGTGGAGCGGCTTTTCTCAGCAGACACCTCAGCTTGAGAATAAAGGACTGAGGGAAGTGAGGTGTGGGAGAATAAAACTGAGTTCTGGAGAAATGTTTGGCTAGAGTTTCCCCTACAATATGTACCAGTTCCGACTTACATACAAATTCAACTTAAGAACAAACCTACAGTCCCTATCTTGTACGTAACCCGGGGACTGCCTGTACTAGATATTTTACACACACCCATGTGTATAAGCACAAAGGTTTTTATACTGTACATATTAGTGCTTTACCACCCAAACCTTCACTACAAACAATTATCTGAGCCCACTGCATCCTTAGTCTGCATCCAGGTGACCCATTAGCATTATGCCAGTTGTACTTCAGTCCTTTAAACAGCCCCATGGCTTGGAAAAGCATCAAATGCCTTCTGTGGAAAAAATATACAAAACATCCGAATGCTCACTGCTGAACATGCTAAATGAGCTAAATAATGGAAAACACATTTAGAGTGTGTTTTTTAATGGTGAGCCTATCCAATTTGTGATTTAAGAGGTCGAACGATTGGTTATTTTTGCATTCCTGGTAATTTAAGAAACAGCAGACTGGGAAATGTGCACTCGCAGGCCTTATAAAACTGCCTGCCTTATTTTGAATAATAGACATCTATTGTAAAAGCTGTGCTAGTGGAAAAGCCCCTTTGCATCTTTACATACTGTAGCTGGATGGCCCATTGCCCATGAGGCATACAATGAAAAATGAGCCTTTTAAAAGGGGAGGAGGGAAGGATGAGCTACAGAAAATCCCAGCACCCACATCTCAAGTTTGAATGGGCTAAAATTTAGGACCCAAAGAGCTGCTGATGCAATATGGTGCTGTTCTTGGTGATACTCCTGCACTCTGCACAGGTTCTGAAGGAGTTTCTCACAAGTCTGAGCCAATGGCAAAGCACAGGGCAGACTGAGGAGGGAAGAGATGAGAAGAAAACAAAGAACCTCTGCTATAGGAGTGTTTCCTTAAAGACTTGAAATGAGGCCAAATTGTTTCCTGGTATAGCTTCAATAATGTGCACTGCAAGAGATTTTGACCCACCTATACACACAAGCTGGACCATTGAAATCCCGATCATGAGATTGTATTATAATTGCACTGATTTTCAGTCAAAGTTAGTTGCACTGAACAGGTGTAACTGAGTGCAGAATCAGACTCCTGTGTTGCTAAATATGCACACCGTTTTTATGGGATACCTGCCCAATACCATTGGTCTGAGGGAACTAAAACTCGTGTAATTTGACTCTTCCGTAGCAGCAGTTTTAGTTTGATCCCAATTGATGCCACAACAGGCCTTTATTATAAAGACTACACTTGTGTTATAGCTATTTGATGGCCATTGTGGCACGCCTCATTTTTCCATGATGTTTGGCATCTTTGGAATTTGCTCATGAGTAGGTGGCTATGAACGTAAACAGCAGAATAATTTTTAGCCCAAAGATATTGTAAATTTAAGGTGCAGTTCTCCTTTGGAAATCATTTTTGTTTCATCTAACCATGTTCAACTTCTAGAGCTAATTTGAGTTTACTAGAAGGATTTTTTTATTTTGCAGCAGCCACCCTTAGCAAAATAAACCTGAGATCTGAACAGTAAAGGGAGTTCTTTCAGGCTCTTCAATAACTCGAGTAAAGATGGGTTGTTTTTTGGCATCACAGATTGGCCAACACTTCTGCTAAAAGAATAGTCATGTTATAATTGCTTTTCTGCTCCTTTTCCCCTCTTTGATCTTTACAGAGGGATAGTAGTAACACCTTTTGTAGATGTTGAGTTATCTAAAGCAATGGTTCCTTAACTTTTTATACTGTGGAGCGGCAAACCCAGTCATAGACTTTTTTTGGTGGACCGGCAACATTTTATTTGTATATTCATTATGCAAATATTCAAATATGCAAATAAACGGTTGCAGGTCCCCCAAGCCCTGGCCCCTAATGCCAGTTCCTAACCCCTAGAACACCCACCCCTCCACCAACCCCCCAGTGCCATCCACTGATCAGAGTCCCTTGCACCTAACCCCTGCCCAGTACCAGCCCCCCACCAGGCACCCCAGTGCTAGCCTCCTGTTTCCAGAGCCCCACTGCACCCAAACCCCCAGTGCCAGCCCCTGTCCCTGTAGCCCCCCCACTACTAGCCCTGTGCTTCTGTCAGTCCCCTGCCTCTTAGAGCACACAGCCTCTTAGAGCTCCCCAGTACTAGTCCTGCCCCACCCTCCTCACCTAGCCCTGCGCTGCTTCCCAGTTCGTGGCTGCTCTAAGGGTGCCATGCTGGGCTCTGTGTGGCCCTCTTGCTGCGCAGAAAACCACTCTTCCACATCTGAAGAGACCCAACCCCTTGCTAGTGCTGTTTGGCTGAGAAGCAGGACATGCCTCTCCCAACAGCCACAGCAGAGGGGAGGCGCTGGGTGGTGTGCCCTGGCCCCCAGAGTCACTGTGGTCCCGTGGCCAGTGGTTCGTGGCCCAGTACTAGTCCCGCAGCCCAGCGGTTGGGAACCACTGTTCTAAAGACAATGGAAAGACTCCGATGGACTTCAATGAACTCTGCACCGGAAAGATCTTGTATTAAAAGAAGGTTCCCTTTTAATGTCAGTTTCCACAGGAGAACTATACAGGCAGCCCCCGGGTTACATGGATCCGACTTACATCGGATCCCTACTTACAAACGGGGTGAGGCAACCCCGAACTAGCTGCTTCCCCCCAGCAGACCAGGGAGACGTGGAGCGGCTTTTCTCAGCAGACACCTCAGCGTGAGAATAAAGGACTGAGTGAAGTGAGGTGTGGGAGAATAAAACTGAGCTCTGGAGAAATGTTTGGCTAGAGTTTCCCCTACAATATGTACCAGTTCCGACTTACATACAATTCAACTTAGGGACTGTAGGTTTGTTCTTATCGTGTACGTAACCCGGGGACTGCCTGTACTTTACAACAGTCTTCAGCATCTCTCAGGATGTCATGAAGGCCATATTCTAATAGGGCAAATTGTCTGTGTGCAGCAGGATGGGCATTTATGGGTTTTGTGTTGTCTGGGGAGGGAGGATGTTTACATCAGTCTGACCCAGTCAGAAATCTGTGCTGATGCACGTACAGTAATTACTCATTTAACACGTCCCACTTAACACGTTTTTGGAATAGCACGATTTTTTTAGGAAATTTTTTTTCGAGTAACACGACCTGGCCCCGAAATAACATGAAAATAATCAAGTGGCAGACTACTTGGTGCAGTGGTATAAGTTGGTGAAAACAGTGGTAATACGCATGAGCAGATGAATCCACGTGGCACAGAGCTCCTCTGCTCACTCACGTGTTTCTTTGTGTTTTAACAAACCGCAGCAACTTGTGTTGCTAGTCCTCTTGTGTTGCTAGCTGTGTAATGCTGATGATGACCCAGCACCAAGAAAAAATTGACTGTGCCACCACCACCTGAAACGCAACCCCTACCTCTTCCATTATTTTGAATGGGAAAATTGACCCCGCGTAGCATGTTTTCGCTTAGCACAAACATTTTCAGAAACACATCTAGCCTGTGTCTAGATTGCATCCCTTTTCTGTAAAAGGGATGCAAATTAGACACATCGCAATTGCAAATGAAGCGGGGATTTAAATCTTCCCCACTTCATTTGCGTAAACATGGCTGCCGCTTTTTTCCGGCTCGGGGCTTTGCCGGCAAAAAGTGCCAGTCTAGACTGGGATCTTTTGGAAAATAAAGCCTTTTCCGAAAGATCCCTTATTCCTCTTAAAATAAGGAATAAGGGATCTTTCGGAAAAGGCTTTATTTTCCAAAAGATCCCAGTCTAGACTGGCACTTTTTGCCGGCAAAGCCCCGAGCCGGAAAAAAGCGGCAGCCATGTTTACGCAAATGAAGTGGGGAAGATTTAAATCCCCGCTTCATTTGCAATTGCGATGTGTCTAATTTGCATCCCTTTTACAGAAAAGGGATGCAATCTAGACACAGGCTAGATGTGTTTCTGAAAATGTTTGTGCTAAGCGAAAACATGCTACGCGGGGTCAATTTTCCCATTCAAAATAATGGAAGAGGTAGGGGTTGCGTTTCAGGTGGTGGTGGTACAGCCCCCTACTGTTAAATGAGGAATTACTGTACTTCATGTGCAGGAGATGAGGCTAGAAAGATGCAGTGAAAAAGCAAACAGTCATGACTTGCTCCTGTCCTTTTCACTGCATTCCTTGAACTACTGGGCTTAAGAAGCAGGTGCGGAGATCAGCTTTATATAAGCTGCTAGGCAAATGTTGTTAAATAATGACCAATAGGTTTTATTGCCAAATGTTTATCAAGATATTTCAACGTGATGTCAAACTCTTCCCAAGCTATAATATTTGGCATAAACTTCAGCAATGAACACTAGTGCCAATTGTAATTTGTTTT